TCCAAGTCTGAACTAAAGAATGGCTTCCTCTCTGGATCATGGAGTTTAATGCACAGCTCTTCACATAGAAATTTTCAACTTCTAAAAAAATTGTTTATTTACCTCCTGTCTGCTATTTCCCCTCCTACTTCTCCTCCCAGCCACACCTGCTCTTTTCTGACCCCAACCCCCATGAATGCCTACTGCTTTCCCATTCAGAAAAGAGTCCGCTTCCCATGAATATTAACAAAAAATGGACATATGAAGTCATATCAAGTTGTAGTAAGACCAAACACTTACCCCTGAATTAAGGTTTGAAAGTGTGACCCAACATGAGGGATAGCATCCCAAAAGCCAACAAAAGAATAAGAGGCAGCCGTTACTGTTTCTTGTGAAACAGTACTGTTTCACAAGAAGACGAAGCTATACAAATGCCACATAAGAAGTGTCCAGTAATTATTATGCAGGCTTCCTGATTGTCTATTCAGGCACTGTGAGCTCTCATGAGTCAAGGGTAGTTGATTTTGTTACTTCTCTTCTGAAGTTCTTGATCCCTTTGGTTACTGCCTCTCTTCAGCAGGAGCTTGGTCTTAAGTTTGGATGAGTGATGTGGGAGTGTCATATCAATCTGTTGATTTCATTGGCTGAGCAATAAAGAAACTGCTTGGCCCTCATAGGTTAGAACATTGTTGGGAGGAGTAAACAGAATAGGATGCTGGGCGGAAGAGGAAGTGAGGTCAGACTCTGCTCTGCTTCCAGAGGGACNACATAGTTAAATTCAAATTCATATGCCAAAATATATTTAGTAATTTTAGTAGTCATCATTCTATTTGGATATCATATGTAAAGTACATTATAATACTTCCAAATATCTTCCCCTCTGTGTGGAAGGAGTCTACTTGTTTGTTTTCTGGCTGTTCAGCTCCAAAATAACAACACAGGAACTATATTATTTTAATCACTGCGTGCCCTAATAGGTCTAGCTTCCTATTGGCTATCTCATGCATATTAATTTAACCCATTTCTAGTAATCTGTATATTGACATGTGGCTGTGGCTTACCAGGTAAAGTTCTGACTGGCTTCTGTTTCTGCCTGGGATACATGGCTTCTCTCAAATCTGCCTCCCTTTTCCCAGCAATCAGTTTAGTTTTCCCCTCTTATCTACACTACCAGTCCAAACCAGTTTCATATTTACCACTGGAATTCACAGCATACAGAGGGGAATCCCACAACACCTCTCCTCATCAAGTTCTGCCACTTCCAAGTCTGAACTAAAGAATGGCTTCCCCTCTGGAGCATGGAGTTTAATGCACAGCTCTTCACACAGAATTTTTCAACTTCTAAAAAAATTTTTTTTTACGTCCTGTCTGTTATTTCCCCTCCCCCCTCCCGGCCACTCCCTACTCTTTTCTAACCCCAACCCCCATTTATGCCTACTCCTTTCCTTTTCAGAAAAGAGTCTGCATCCCATGAATATTAACAAAAAATGGACATATCAAGTTTCAGTAAGACCATTTACCCCTGTATTAAGGATGGAAAGTGTGACCCAACATGAGGGATAGCGTCCCAAATGCTAACAAAAGAGTAAGAGACAGCCATTGATGCCACAGTAAGGTGTTTCACAAAAAGACCAAGCTACACAAATGCCACATAAGAAATGTCCAGTAATTATCATGCGGGCTTCCTGATTGTCTATTCAGGCACTGTGAGCTCTCATGAGTCAAGAGTAGTTGATTTTGTTACTTCTCTTCTGAAGTCCTTGATCCCTTTGATTCCTGCCTTTCTTCAGCAGGAGCTTAATCTTAAGTTCTGCTGAGGGTCTCTGTCTCTACTTACATCAGTTGCTGGATGAAATTTCTCTGAAGACAATTAACTAGGAATCATTTTGAGTTTAGTAGAATATTAATAGGCATCATTACATTTTTTTTGTTCTCTAGTTGTCTGGTTCTATCCTAGGTCTCTGGGATCCTGGTGCTCCAGCAATTAGGTCCTGGTAGTGTCAGGGGTAGGCTTATTCTTATTTTAGGGTAGAACAGTTATAGGTTGGTTATGCCCCCAATCTCTAGGCTACCATTATCCATGCCCGCCTCATGGGCAGAACTGACTATAGTCAAAGGTTATGTGGTTGAGTTGCCATCTCAATTCCTTCACTGGCAATTTTAGCAGATCACAGGACTAGGTCATTCCAGCATACATATCTGCCATTGCCAAGAGTCTTAGCTGGGGTCATCCATGTAGATTAATAGAAAATTCCCTTGTGCCAGGTCTCTACCTGAGCCAGGAATCCAACCACCCTCATCATTCTTCTCTTTTAGAACATCTTCTTCCTTCTCTACCTCTCCTCAGTCCACTTATAAAATCTCTTCTTTTTCTCCCTTCCCAGAGAGATCCAGGCATCTCCCCATGAACCTGCCTTGTTACCTAGTCTATCTGTATCTGTGGACTATAATGTAGTTGCCCTATTTACAGTTAATGTTAATTTATAAGTGCATATCACACACTATGCTAGTCTTTCCAGGTCTGGGTTACCTCACACAAGATGTTTTAATGATGGTGTTCTTTTATTTTTTGCTCAGTCTATATTGAAGGCATGATTATATAAAAAGACTAGATGTGTACAGAGATGTAAAAACTTCAGCGCTGTTGGATTCCTTCAGATCTTTGTTGGAAATAACTCCCAGGTGGTACTAAAATATAACTACACACAAGAATGTTATATTTTTCATCAGTGCTGTGAGAATTGTGCCATATCTTTATGTTTCTTAATTCACATTTTCTGTGTGTTAAAGGTTGACTGAGTTCATGAGTTTGATATTTATTTGTAAGTTTTATGCAGAGAAAAAATTGAAGGGATTGGAAGGTAATAAGCTTCAACCATAACTTAATTCTGCTTTATCATTTACTTTATACTGAAGTTTATGGTAGAAAATGATGTTTGCATCTTTTCAGTGAGTCAATTGAGAAGTTATTTTTTAAAATGGCAAAATAGCAAATGAAGTAATGGTATATGTTAACAACATGAGACCTTTTCTTATATCTTTAATTTAAATATTTAGAATTAATAACCATTTTCAGTTATATCTTTTTTAATTTTAGTTTTTCAAGATAAACATGAGCTAATGAAATGTCAAAACAACCTTGATCAAAGCACTGTAAAAAATATCAGCGCCTCAGATAAAATATTGACAAGTAAGTCATCAGATTATGAAGGCTACAAAAATCAGGAGGAACAGAACAGATGCTGTGGAAAAATTAACACTGTTTTAGATTATGGAAAGTACACAGGTAAGGAGGAGATCTTGAATAAAGAATTGCATTTTTATGTATTGATTCTTCTCTAAAGGACTTGAAGTCAAGTTATCAGGTTACAGTCCTGATAATCTGTTGGTTAATGGTTGGGTTTCCATATATCCTGTAGGGGCAGAACCCCAGAAATCCCTGTTTGAATTAGGAACATCTTACAGTTTCTAAACTCAGTGACTGTTCTGTCTCCTACTGCTCCAAGGAAAGGCAGCTCAAACCAGCATTGCTGAGAATTCAAGTTGTTTTCATCAGTGAGCAAATCTAGGTCCCGCTTTTTTTGTTAACAGAATGTGGGAGTTCCCAGTAAAAGAGTGTTTTCCAAATTCCTAGGCTGATATAAACTTAGAACATTTACGTAGACACAATAATAAAAATAATTGTTTGTATATTTGTTTTCCTTCTACTTTGGTATCAGAAAGTTGGTCTCTTTGTGACCAGCATGTCCTCCGTACAGTGCACACGAGAGCTTCACCATGGTGCTCACACAGCTGTCTGTCTATCAGTGACACAGAGATGAACATATCTCATGTTAAAAGGAGCCTTCCCTTGCATCATGACTGTTAACTATAATTGGTACAGTTTACCATTAATTATGAAGTATTTTTTCAGACTTTAGAGTTCACAAAGAACTCGTGCATATGATCTCATTTGTTTGATAGCAGGAGTTGACAATCTTTACTAGTTAAAAACTAATATTACCTTTAAAACTGGTAAATTTAAAATATAAATAAATAAGTAAATAAAGCTTCAAAAATAATCCTTGAGGCATTCCAAACTCATCAAAAATGTTTTGCATTGTTGTATTAGAATAAAATAAATATCAACTCTAAGTGGTAGCACAATTCTCCAATGCTTGTGATTAGAACACAGAGGAAGGATGATTGCAAATTTGAGGACAGTCTTGGTGTCCAGTAAATTCCAAGAGAGCCTGACCAACACAGTGATGTTAACTCTGTACAGAAAAACAGGGGTTGGACATAAATGTTTATTAATAGAGAGAGGGTATCCTCACCACCAGAGTAAACAAATAAATGTAGCTAAGAAACCACACGTTTTAATGTATTCAAATTTGACACTATCAGGCTGTGAATGTACCATTGAAGGCAGGAGAACATAAAATCGCCATCAAAAGCTTCCTTATATGTCTCATTTCTATTAAGGTAAAAGCATCTAACATAGACCACAGTACAGCTGTACATGCATAATAGATGTGGGCAACTGATATTAAGTGATCTGCAGTCATGAGTTACCTGATAGACTTATAGGTGTTATTAGGTGCTAGGTGTTAGGTATGGTTTCATTGTATAACCAAAGCTCACTTGGAATATACTGTATAGGCAAGGCTGGCCTGAAATTCACTGTTTAACCAAGGCTGACCTCAAACTGGAGGTGAACTTCCTGCCTCAGCCTAGAGATGGGCTTATGGGCATAAGCCATGCCCACTAGATCTCCTTCCCTTTCAAGGATAGATAATATTCCTTTGTGTGTACATGATACATTTTTTCCTATTGATTCATCCATAATGAACAATTATATTATATTCATATTTCTATTATAAATATGCATGGAGCACAGGTGTAGAGGGTTCACTCAGCATTCTAGAATCTCAATTTCTGAGGGCTGTGAGATTTTACTCAGTTATAAATTGTAATAAATACATAGTTCTAATAATAGAACACCTGAAATTAAGATTTTCACAATTCTTTCTCTGTTGTAGGCAAATGTGCTGAAGCACGCTTGTTCTGCTGTGGAATAAAATGTTATTATTTCATCATGGACAATAAACACTGGAAGGACTGTAAAAAGACCTGCCAGGACTGCGGCTTATCCCTTTTGAAGATAGATGATGATGATGAACTGGTACTGTAGACTCTTAACATGCCCATTTATTCTCTTAGAATCTGTTTCTAAATCGTGGATAATGAAATATTAACCCCAGGCAGATTTATTGCAAGAGAGACCTTCAAGGATTAGATATAGTTGCCTTTAATAAGAGCAAATACTTCATAAAGGGTCTCTCAGGATACCCCTCCTGGTTCTAGATTAGTAGTCAGGACACGGGGTGTGTTATGGGGAGGCTCTACTAAAGAGACCGCTGTCTTGCAAACTCCCCTGTTTCTCATGAATCTGCAAGAGTCACTCAGAGAAGCATGTTCTCCCTGATGATGTTATTATTTTATTACTTTATTACAGCACGTTCTGTGACGGACAGTTATGTGTCTCCATAGAGGGCCAGCTACTCACAGAAAGGCAATTGTCTTGGGTTTGTTCTTTGGAACCCAGAAGTGAGACTGCCTGAGATGAGTAATTGGATGGCAGTGGGGAATGTAACTGACCAATGGGGCAACCTGCAAAGTGTAGATTATATGAGAACCATGGAAGTAAATAATTTTTCTGGTTAGAACCATGCTGATTTTCACTGAATCTGTCCAAATACTTACCTCATGATATTCTAATGTTTCACAAAATGTTATCCATCTTTAGAAATGAGTATTAAGGTAAAACAAGTGGCCAAGATGTTTACATCTTCAGTATAGAAATTTTTTCAAAGTCAGGCAGTGGTGGCTCATTCCTTAGATCCCAGAACTCAGGAGGCAGAGGCAGAGAGATTTCTGTTAGTTCAAAACCAACCTGATTTACATGAGCTAGCTCCAGAACAGGATTCAAAGCTAGAGTGAAAACCTGTCTCAAAAAAATAAAATAAAAAAAAATCAAAAATCAAACAAAGAAAGAAATCTCTTCAAATACATAGAAGGTCTTTTTCTAGAGAAATGATTTAATGGTCCGCTTAAAATCTTTTTCAGTTAGATCATGAGGAATAATACCCCACCAACGTAATACATGCTGAATAATTACAGCATTAAATAAATTTTTATGTGAATTTTAATGATATAATTTTCCATTTGATACAGTAAACATAGATAAATTTAAAATCATACCCTAAAATATATTTAATAGTTTTACTAGCCATCAAGCCAACTATGTCACATGCAAGACACATTAATTTCTTCTACAACCTCCCACTTCCTCAAGTTCTGTCACTTTTATAACTGACAAATAGCATGGCTTTCTCTCTATAACATGAAGGATAATGTACAGCTTTTCATGGTATTTTTCATCTTAATGAATTTGTTTTGAAGCCGGGGTTCACTTAAGATGAACGCTTCTCACATTCCTCCATAGTCTTCTGTAATATGAATCTGTATAATTTCATGAAGCATCAAACTTACTTGAGGAGCTGGATATGCAGTGTGCATTTAGGGATTGAAGCAGGGAGGTTGTGAGTTCCAAGGCCAGTCTTGGCTACACACTGAGCCTTTCTCTGAGAATCACACATGTAAATCTTTTCATGAAAGTAGTATCTCTAGACACTTGACGCTTCATTTTAAATAACTTATGTAACTGTCTGGTTCTGACATAACATGAGAAATCACTTTAAAAATGAACTTGGAGGAACTGAAGGGCTGCAGGACAGGACAGAAAAGAGCTGACATAAGAATATCAGGAACCTGTTATAGCTGTTCATTTCTCATCAAACAGAAAAATTTTATTGTAAGATAAATTTTTATTTTCCTTACAGAAGTTTCTAAAGAACCAGTTTAATACAAACACTTTCTGGATTGGATTATCTTATGAAATAAGCAAAAGTGAATGGGGATGGATTGACGATGGCACATCTAAACTGTGAGTATCCTGAACTCTTAAATTCTAACACTGGTGCCAGAGTTGGTAGGATTGTGTGCAGAGGCTTTTCTCTCATTATACATGACTTTTCTCATTTTCTATGAAGCTCATGGGTAAGAAATATAAGCAGAATACAGTATCTGAGCAAGTGATAGACAATAATAGAAATGTGTACGAGCTGATGGCCAGTGATGAAATACTGAACACAGCTCAGGATTGTGATTTCTAAGATGCACAGGGCACAACAAAAAAGATCCAAAGTTTAAGATAATGTAAAGTGATTTGTTCTTCATGAAAGATAAAATGAGTGTGAGTATCTTAAACATTAATGGCTTGTTTCTGTAGTAAGTTTATATAATTTTAATTTATGAATAAAGAAATATATATACATATACATTTATATGTATACATATCTACTTTAATTTCTAGGTGCTTTAGTCCATTAGCTCTGAGATTGCTCATTTCTGACATGGCAAAAAACTGTTTGTTGATTTTCTTTATAAATAATATTTATTAAAAATCTCATATATATACAAAAAATTATTATCACATCTATCTGCTATTTGCACTCTCAAGCTTCCTCTTACTCTATCCAAAGTTTTTCCCTGCTACATGTTTAATGGCCATTCACTGGAGAAAGGATACCTGGCCAAAACCTTAATAAGAAATGTATCTACCATTTCCAGTAGCTGTCACCTAACAATAATCACTCATTGAAAAATAGAGGATCTCTCCCCATCTATGCTGGAATTTTGGCCAGTTTGATCTTGTTCAAGTCTCACATAGGTAACCACAGATGCCTTGTCATATCCAAATAGCAGGATTGCACAGAGCATCAATTGGCTCTCATATTTTTCCACTTCCTCTGCCCTGTTGTGCCAAGAGACTTCGGGTGGTTTTGAGGGGGAAGAAGTTGATGTCCCTGTAACCCTAAACACATTTTTCTTCTCTTCTGAACTTTGACTGCTTCCCTGGCTCTGTGCAGATTACTGCCTACTGCAAAAGAAGCTTCTTTGACCAAGGTGGAAAGCACTTAGCTACATGCCCACTTAACAAAATAATTGTTGCAGGTTCCACCTTAGGGCCCTTGACCTCCACAATCATGGGTTTTGATTTGAATTACAATACCACACATTATCCCTCATGTATTAAAAATCTCAACTCCAATAAGCAAGCAGTCAGTTATCCCATAATAATGGTACCACTGGGCACATATTGCCTAGCAGGCCAGTATCGTAGCATGCTGGGTTCAGTGCTGGGTAAGACTGTTAATATATTTTCTACTCCAGCAGCACCTTGTCATCCTTTGAAAACTAGCCCAGGTAAAGTTGTTTCCTGATTGATTTGAAATTGATTTCTCTATGTCCTGAAAACAAATTGTTTTCTGCCTTCAGCTTACAGATCTTACCATGTTGCTGGGTGGAGGGGGGGTATTAACCAAGGGCAATGGCAAAATGCTGTGTTATTTTGGTGACCTCTGTGGTCTCTCTGACCAGTAATTCCCCTAGGTGTGTCCCCTGCTTTATACTTTGATTTTCTATTAATAATTATGTTTTTTTTGTTATTCATTTTTCAGTCATATTTTCATTTTGAATTACATTTTCAATTGACTATATTTTGATCGATCACCTTTCCCAACCCCTAACACATACCATATTCTTCTCACCTCCCTGCCCATCTAAAATCAAGTTCTTTCCTTTGTTCTCCAAAAAAAAAAAAATGACAATCAAATCAAACAAAAAACCTAATCAGACAAAAATGTTGAAATACACATACAAAGGCACAAATAAACAAACAAAAAACCCAAACTACATAAGTAAAAAAGATCCGGCATTTTGTTGTCCAAAGACACGTTTATTAACTAATGGTGGTCTGTAAGTCTATTTATAGATCCTTAGCTTCAGTTAATATACCTTTTTATCCTCGCCTCTTTTTTATGCCCCAGTGCTATTGTCATTTGATCTTTTAATCCTCAGAATTCATCTCTCTACTTGCATTTCACATATATCAATTACTCCTGCTTATTGATGGTTTTAGAAATACTAATATTGAAATTTCTCTCTTAGGAATTCTGTGTTTGTCCTCAAATAACATTGGAAAACATATGTATATATGTATGTATATATGTGTATATATCAATATGTATGTGTATGTATTTTAAAAACACAGTATTTATTATCCAATTCTTACAATGTGACTATCCAAAGGGCAAAAAGAAAAAGAAAATACTGTTTTATTTTTGAGGGTTGCCTATTTTTCTATTTTTAAAATTTTTTTGCCACGTGGTGGTGGTGCATGCCTTTAATCCCAGCACATGGTGGCAGACACAAGCATTTCTCTGTGAGTTTAAGATCAAACAGGTCCACAGATTAATAGTCAGAGCTGTTTNCTTCTCACTCTTCCTACTTAATGTTTGATGAAGATTCTCCCTTGAACCAGTGCATTTTTGTATCCAGCAATAGGAACAGACTCATTTTTTAAAAATTAATTAATTAACTATTTTCTTCCAGTCCAGTTACAGTCTTCCCTCCCTCCCTCATCTCCTGTCAGTCCTTCTTCCATTTCTCTTTCTCTTCCATGCTCTAATCTACTCCCCCTCCTTTCTCTACTAAAAAGGAAGTCCACCTCCCATGTAGGCATCTTGTTCAAATTGAAGCTGGATGAGGAAAGGGTCCTTCTTTCTGTACACTGTGAAGATGTGTGGCTATTATTGGTTCAATGAAAAAAAAAAAAAACTGTGTGGCCAACAGCTAGGCAGGATTCCCAGGCACAGAGGATATTGGTAAGAAGAAGGGAGGAGGCACAAGGAATTGCCAGCAGACAATTAAAAGGGCTGCATGTTTTTGCAGGTTAAGCTTTGTCAGGAAGCCTTTCTAAAATGATACAGATTTGCCTCCTGCAAACAAAGCCCACTGGAGAAAACGCTGCTACTAAGAAGCCATACAGAACTCTGTTCTTTTGTTTCTAGAATTACTTCCCAAGGTCTGTCAGGTTTAAGTGGATTTGGCTGTCCACATTGACACCATTAGTTGACAGAAATTTCTGTCCCACCTGGTCCCGCAGGCAATAAGTCTGAAAGAAATACACAGAGGCCTACTAAATTAATTACACACTGGTTGGCCAATTAGCTCAGATTTTTTATTAACTAATTCTTGTATCTTAATTTGACCCTTTATTCTTGTCTATATTAGCCACATGGCTTGATACATTTACCAGTGAGTTGCTCTCATGTTGCTTCCATTGTATCTGGATGAAGACTGCAGACTGCCTCATTTCCTCTTACCAGAATTCTCCTGTTCTTCTTGCAGCACCTCTACTTTCTGCCTGGTCACCCCACCCATACTTCCTGCCTTGCTACTGCCCAATAAGTGTTTTATTAAAATACATGTGACAGGGTACAGAGCGTTGTCCCACAGCATTCAGGTCAAAAGACAGGTAACATAGTCAGAAAATAGCCCTACTTTCACTGTTATAAAACACATAAGAAGACCAAGCCAAACAACTGTCAGACATATGCAGAGGACCTACGTCACTCCCATGCAGGCTCTCTGCTTTTGGGTTCACACTATGTGAGTCCCTATAAGCACAGTCTAGTTGATTCTGTGGTTTTCTTATGGTATCCTTGGTGCCTCTGATACTCACAATCATTGTTCCCCTCTTCCACAGGATACCCCGAGGCTTTCCTAAGGTTTCGCTCTGTGTCTCTTCACATTTCCATCTATTGCTGCACCCAGTGACAATTGAACTAGGCAACAATATATGAGTATAGCAGAATATCAATAAGAATCATTTCACTGACATTTTTGAGAGTCATTTTAGACTCTCACCTAGGTCTCTGGCCTGTCTAGCCTCAGGCAGTTTTAGGGATAGGATCCCTCTCATGGAATGGATATCACACTCAACCAATCATTGACTGTCCATTCTAATTTCTTCTGAATTATTTTTACCCCAGTATCTCTTATAGGCAGTGAAAATTGTTCATCAGAGGTTATGTGATTGGGATGATGTCTTAACTCCTCCACTAAATGTCTTGCCTAGTTACAGGAAATAGCCTGTTCAGACTCTGTATACCCCATAGCTAGGAATTCTGACTGAGGTCCTCCTCACTGATTCCTAGGAGATTCCATTGAACTAGGTTACTAACTCAGACCACAAATGACCCTCATTCCAGTTGTCTTTCCCAGTACTCTCATCTGCCATCTTCCCCAAACCTGATTGCTCCTGTTCCCATGCCCACTTACAGCAATCCACCCATGAGGACTATTCTATTTTGAATTCCAAGTGCGATTTGTTTTGCAAGTCCCCTGAATTTGAGCCCTCCTTGTTACTTAACTTCATGAATCTGTGAATTGAAGCATGGGTATCCTTTCGTTTATGGCTAAAATCCACCTACAAGTCAGCACATACTATGTTTCTTTCTGGATCTGGGTTATCTCACTCTGAATGATCTTTTCAAGTTCCATCCATTTTGGGGAAAGTTTACTGATGTCCTTGTTTTTAACAGCTCCATACTACTCCATCGTGGAAATTTACCACATTTTCCCTATCCATTCTTTTTGTGATAGATGTCTAAGCTATTTTCAATTTCCAACTATTATAAATAAAGCCACTATAAATTTTAGTGTAAATGCCCTTTTTGGTAGTATGGAGCATCCTTTGTGGTAGGAAGGATTATCCTTTGTGTATAAGCACAGGCGAAGCATAACTAGCTCTTTACCTAGATCGATTATCCATTTTCTGAGAAAGAACCATGTTGAAATCCTAAGTGATTGTACAATTTAACAGTCCCAGAAGCAAAGGAGGAGCTAATTATGTTTTAATTGTCTTGGTATCATTTTAATTTATATTGATTTTGTTGTTTTTAGATAGAGATCATTTTTCCCATGTTGGATGTTGGCCTTGGACTCCTGATATTTTTGTCTCCATCTCTCAGGTGATGGGACTGTGGACAGGTGTGACTCTGCCTGTATGGTTCTTTTTCTCTGGACAGATATCAACCATTTC